ACAGTAGAGAGGGGAAAAAAAGAGCCATGGTTCATCAGAATCCCTTCTGTAGGCAAAAAAACCCAAGAAACCCCACACCAAAAACCAGGGCACTTGCTGTTTAGCAGTAAGAACTGAAAAAAAGACATAGATTACTGTTACAGCTGTAGATGTCATGTAAAGTCGGAAAGTTGTAGCAAGCAAAAATGACAGTTGCTGCATGGGTAAAATGCTACAACTGGGCATTTAAAACATTTCATTACAATAACAGCTTTTGCATAAAACTCATTGACATCTGAGAATGTTATATCTGGTAGCAAATTAAAATCTGCAAATTTTTATTAGGTTGATAATTGCTGCTGTTCCCATTTTCAGGATGGCTAACTTGAGATGTAGTGAGTATAGTGAGTACAGTGAGCTGCCACTCACCACAGGGTATGTGTGGCAGAAGGTGGCTCACATTTAAATTTGAAGCAATGAACTACAAAATTACACTTTTTTCTTTACTGTAGATCCATCTGACTTCCACTGACAAGCATATGTTCTCTGACATATGTACAATCAGTTAATGGAAATGAATACTTCAGATCATGGTGAAAATACAGAATGGAACATTTTACTCTCTGGGACAATCCTGCTCACAAACATACATACTTTAAATGTGTAGTTTCCTCCTGTGAGCACAGTAGCAACAACTACCCTAACTGTATCCATCATGTCTTGAAATGCCTGTAATGCCTGTCCAGTTTTGTGCCACTGCTTCATATGAGTAGCAAAACATGCCTCAATACGCAAAGGTCTCAAGGTCTTTAACTCCACTGCTTTCTTGGCTTTCTCCTCACGCAGTCCCACACATTTCAATAGGATGCCCTCAAGGAGTGAAATATTGTCACGCACCTTGGCAGAACCAGAGCCAAAGTGGATAAGGAGAAAGTATTGTGTTAGATCCAAAGATGTGTAAGCATCTGCTTTTAACACAGATTTATTATGTAGCTGATAGAGGTAACCATTATTGTCAGATCCAACTGCTTAGCCATTATTTCAAGCTTTTGCACCTGTTTTAGTGTCTGTCTTGTAATTTATTAAGACATTTCTTTCTCTTTCCTGTAAAGCATCTGCCTGTGGGCTTACTGTCAGAGCCAGGAGCACTTTACTGTTTGCACTAGTGATCTGTTCCAAGGTTGGCTGCAGCTGCCCTGTGCAGCTTGATGAAAGGGTACAGCAGGGCTGGAAATGGCACAGCTTTGGGATACTGCCATGGAGCACGGCCAGAACTATGTGTACCATTGTATACAGAACCTATAGGTAAAGAGGCCAACCGTCCACTAAAAAATCCTGTCCCCTCCTTTTTTGGAAACCAAGCATAGCTTGGTGTAGACTGATGCTCCTGGGGTTTTGTTGCAGTTCAAGCTATGAGAATACAACTCTGAAAGAAGCAGTAGTTTTTGTTCTCCCTGACTCTTTACTCTCTTTAGAAATAGCCAAATATGTTACTTAATAGCTTTTTATATAAAGCTTCAAGCAATGCTTTGTTGAGTTCTGCAGCTGTGAAGGGAAAACTATTGGTATAATGTAGTTTTATATCTTTTATACAGGCCAAAACCTGACTTTCTTTCTCTCTCTCCAATAAAACAGCATTTCTGCATCAACCTTTCCCTTTCATAAACGTGCCACTTTCTTAATGCTTTGCCAAACGCCTGCTTTTTCCTTTTATGCATATAAGTAGAAGCTGCTGTGTGCAATGATTAACAACTGTGTCTGGAATACATCTACAGCTTTTACATCTATCTTATTTCTGTTTAGGCCCTGATTCTGCAGACCTTTATGCTTAACTTCACGTAGCATGAATCTGCGACTTTCATTCTCACTTTAGAATGTATAATAAAAATTAAATTATCACTTGGGTAACTCTTGCTTTCTTGAATATATTTGTTACTAAGCTTCATAGAAATATTTACACAACCTGCTAACTTACTGGATTCTAATTTCCTTAAACTCGCATAGAATTATGAAGTAAAAAAACCATGTAATGTTACATGAAGTAAAACTTAAAAAAATTATACATCCATAAAAATGTGTTAGTAATTGAATTTAATATTTCTGACACAGATGATATGAATGATAGTTTAAATGAGCCATACTTCCAAGACAACTTCCAGATCTGAGTGATATCTGAAGTGAGTTAAATCAATACTTCAGATGCTGTAATGGGCTTCTCACTCATGATGGAATGAGCACTGCTGGCAGGAGACTATGCTTAATACAAATGAACAACTCACACCCAGATTTGTATTCAACAATTTTTTGCAAAACTGAAGAGAGGGAAATAGAAAGATGTGATGGGTATAAGACCAGCCAAATATAATCTGCAACAGTTACACTTCTGAGTAAGACTTATCAGTACCCATCAACACTGAGAGTTCGAGTTTAATCAACTGGCAGTAACAAATCTTTATCTTACAACACTATTTCCATACATGTAATGTTCCCTTAAAGGTGAAAAGGATCCTTTCTCTGTATTAACAAAACTAAATTTGTCCCAGATTCTGAGGCTAATTCGGCTAGCAGGGTACAACAATTTCTTTTCCTTATCTATTAATCATTTTAAAATCATTAGGTCTTCTCACATTGCGGATTATAATAGAGTAGGATGTAGCAAGTGTGAAATTTTGTACTAAATTAAGGAAGAGAATCATGTTTAATATTTTAATTTTTTACTACAGAAACCTAGAAAGAAGCAGATAATCCCAGTCTTCTAATTTATCATGCTTAAGCATTTTTGCGTTACTTCAAACTAAGAAGTACACACAGATCATCATCTCTTCTGTGTTAAAACTTGCACTTGAATACTTGAGTACTGTAAGGCCTTGTACAATATATAACTGTACAAGGAGTGAAAAGAAAGTTGCACAGTCTGTTGGTGAGTACAAGTAACATACATACACTCTTACATGGTTATCTCCCCAGCATACATTCTTTTACATGGTTATCAGCTCCAAAAAAGGGGAAATAAAGTAATTTTTCCAGGTACCACAGAATCTCAGAATAGTTTCAGTTTGAAGGAACCTTTAAAGATCACCTAGTCCAACCCCCCTGCCATGGACAGGGACGCTTCCCACTGGACCAGGTTGTTCAAAGCCCCGTCCAACCTGGCCTTGAACACTGCCAGGGATGGGGCAGCCACAGCTTCTCTGGGCAACCTGTGACAATGTCTCGCCACCCTCATCATAAAAAATTTCTTCCTTATATTCAATCTACATCTACCTTCTTTCAGTTTAAAACTCTCGCCCCTTGTCCTGTCACTACAGGACCTGGTAAAGTCTTTCTCCACCTTTCTTATAAGCCCCCTTTATATATTGAAAGGCTGCATTAAGGCTTTCCTGAGTCCTTCTCTTCTCCAGGCTGAACAAGCCCAAGTCTCTCAGCCTTTCTTCATAGGAGAGGTCTTATTCCATGTTAAAACACATCCCATCCAAAAGCTCTTCCTCCCTTCCCTACGTTCCTGAGTTCTTACAATAGGTTGGTCTGCAAATTAAATTATCTGGTGGCCTCTAGCAGTTCCCTGAATAGCCAATTGAAAAAAAAGATAAATTTGCCTATATATAAGAAGCTATAAACTTGGTGTGAAAGACTGCATATGTGCATGTATGTGAATACACTTGTAAGTTCAGGAGATGATAACAGCAAAGAGCTGGGTGATTATATTTTTAATATACTTCAGCAATTTTCCTAACCTGATAATACACTAGCACATTATTAGAATGATACAGAATATTGCATCAGTGTAGACAGTAGACATAAACTCTTACTTTTATACCCAGAAGAAAATTAATTCTTCAGTTTATACCTGTCTTAGAGAACAATATTCATGGCCATCATCTTTCTATGCATCTCACATGTTACACACAGAAGATGTTTATATAAATAGAGATGTTTATAAAATAGAGAGCATAAATAGTTAGGTGTACAGTTATATTTACTTCATATATATTTCAGAAATTGTTTCCGTATGTACAAGAAAAATGTTATACTTTATACTTTTATACTTTTTCTGGTGTCCTCAGCATTTCTGGTGTCCTCAACATAAAAAGGACATGGAGCTGTTGGAGCAAGTCCAGAGGAGGGCCACGAGGATGATAAGAGGGCTGGAGCACCTCCCGTATGAAGACAGGCTGAGAAAGGTGGGGCTGTTCAGGCTGGAAAACAGGAAGCACCTTCCAGTATCTGAAGGGGGCCTACAAGGATGCTGGGGAGGAACTCTTCATTAGGGACTGTAGTGGTAGGACAAGGGGTAATGGGTTTAAACTTAAACAGGGGAACTTCAAGTTAGATCTAAGGAAGAAGTTCTTCACAGTGAGGGTGGTGAGGCACTGGAATAGGTTGCCCAAGGAAGTTGTGAATGCTCCAACCCTGGAGGCGTTTAAGGCCAGGCTGGATAGAGCCTTGGGCGACATAGTTTAGTGTGTGGTGTCCCTGCTCATGGCAGGGGGGTTGGAACTAGATGATCTTAAGGTCCTTTCCAACCCTAACTATTCTATGATTCTATGATTCTATACAGATAGCTATCTATGAAGAAATTGGTATGTATCCCTTGTGCTACTTTTTCCTGTTACTGTATCTTTTTTCCTCAGATTCTTTCCACCTTTCTTCTCCTGTCCCTGTCATGTTCCCCCAGTTTTCCTTTAGTTTGGCATATCCTTAACATTTTTTGGGTTTGGTTTTGTTCCTAACTTCTACCAGAGCAGGCCTGGAGAATTGTGTCTGCCTCTCCTCACCATCTGCAGATGGAAGTTATGGCTATAATCATCCCAGATCATTCTTCCCTCTTCTTACAAACCTGTACCTCAATGGCCTGACACACCTCCACGTCTTTCAAAATTTTACTGGCTTGGTTGGGAAGTACATGGACCATGACTTTTGTCCTGGCCTATGTATTTATTTTTCCTGAGCTAATAACCTGCATTAAAAGTCAGTTTGGTTACTGGCATTTTATGGTTCATCATGAAGAAGGAAGTACTTACAGTTTTACTCCAGGTGAGACCTGTGGTATGATGCTCTTTGATATAAGCTTGAAGCTCAGACCAGATGTTCAGATATGACTTCACCCAATCAACATGGCGTGCATCACTGTAAAAACAGAGACAATATTTATATGTGTGAATGTACTTAAAACCTGAAAGCATTGCTATTCTTGCTTAAAGCAGGTAAAACCCAATGTCTGCCTTAAAGCCATGGACAAATCAGTTAGCAGGCAGCCAGCCAGCCCAGTGCTGAAAATACTGAAGCCTACTACACTAGAAAGCTTTTAGGTCCTTCCAGAGGACAAAGGCAAAGGATGCTTTTAGCAGAGAGTGATTCATCAAGGTGTGTCATCATTCTGATCAGGCTCCAAGTCAACGGAAGAAGCACTAAAGGTGTATGGAGCTTTGCAGCAGCCTCCCAGACTCAGTTTCAGGGTGCTGAATTTTAGAATATCAAATATCCATGGGTTCTGTAGGTATTTTAGTTTCCAAGTTCAAATGTAGCCAGGGTAATACTGGACCATGTTATAGCCATCAGACTATAATATTTATACATCAAGAATTTTTCAAGTACAACTCAGTTGTACTTTTCCAGTTGGCTCTGGAAACATTATCTGGAAGGCTCAGTCTTCTGATGGGACAGTAAGTGAAAACAAGAAATATGTTAAGAGAGAGAAATTGCTTGTAACATGGAGTCCTTAGTTAAGAAAAATTATTACTTAGTAGTGATGGCTACGGAGTGGATGCTTACAAGGATTTGGGTGTATACCTCCTATTCATTTCCTTTGGAGTTTGGTGCTTAATACTAATGAGGATCTGGGTCAACAGGTTTAATCCAAAGCCTGCTAAAGTCAAGGGAGAGCCTTCCACTACTTTGGAAGACATTGTGAAAAACAGGAAATTAATTCCTTATTAGGGGAAGAACTAAATACCTAAATAACGTACCCTGTTTGTAGTGTTAGGTAAGACATTTTCTTCTCCAGAAGAAGTACTAAAGCTATATTATAAAAATCTTCAGTAACCCCAGTGGCTACTACATTTGGTAGGTAAAATAAGGCTCCAGGAATAATACATAATATATAAAAATATGAAATATTACATGTAGTATATAATATATATTCATACATAGACAATAAATAGAAATCTATACAAAAGGTTTTTATACAGATAAAGTTTTCTTCACTAAAGAGGAAAAACTCAATAGCAAATACTGTTCTTCACTGGGATAGAAAAACCAAGAGCCAAAATGTGCCTTCCAGAAGTACCAAATCAACACGATTTCTACATGACTTTTTTAAGAGGGCATAGAAAGGACCTGTATTTTTTTCTCTTTCTCTGTCAGCTCACAGATCTCATTTATGGAACTTTTTAATGAATTCCTTGTGCTCTTCAAGAACAATCCAGTGGTACAGAAAAAAAATCAAATTGGTAGCTATGGAATTAGATGCTCAGTTGTATACATCTACTACCTAAATGCACACTTTCAAGCAAAAAGCAAGAACAGCAACAGTATGAGTGCACAAATGAGACACGGATGCACAGCAGCTAGCTGGCCACACACTGATATGTAAATACACATTTGCATATAAGCTTTTGATGCTGGAATGCCAGAAAATTAAATATAATCCTGTCATTTGCAGAGACTGAAAACCAGCACTGCTGGTGCTGCTGCCATTCTCACTGCAACATGCTGCGGGTCAAAGATGAGGAGGGGAAAATACACTACTGCAAGCAGATTTTATCAGATGCTTTTTAGTTTACAAAACGCTTTCTGTGATGGCACTGTGAACTCTGTCTTGTACAGTTAATGCTCTGTTCTCTGGCTACTAGATACTGGGGCTTGGCAACATACCTGTGCTTGTAGTCCTTTAATACCCTGTTAGTATAAAAGGTAGCAGCATCATTCATCTCCTTGACATAAGGGCCTGGTTTAGGAGACTAGGACCATCAAACCATGGTAGCAGGAAATAACAGAAGGAGAAAGGAAGTAAAACATTAGTCAGACACTTTCCCTGATGTACTAGGTGTATTACAGAACACCGTCTTGGGTGTAGTAGACTGAAGAACTGTGCAGATGAGACTGCAGAGTTCTGCAAGATTTGAAACTATTCTGGGCCACACCATCCAGAAGCACATTTAAAACCCTCCCAACCACCCTGTGTGTCACTCACCACTGCTATCCACCCAAGGGCAGGTATGCTTTCACTGACAGCTGAGAGGTGGTTGAACATTATACTTCCTCTGTTCCTTTCTCTGAAGTTCTGGATTTCCTGAATCTTCTCTGATATTGGCTTGAGAAGCATTGCCACCTCGTTCTGGGGAAAAAAAGAAAATGAAAAGACAACACTGCTGTTACAGTGGGTGGTCAAAAACCACCCTGTGGTTTAACACTGTCCTCCTGCGCATTGATTTAACAGCTGGAAAGAAAGGTCAGCATATTCTCTACATTAAAGTAACAATTTAATTATCCTCCTCTGGTTGAAGTGGCAAAATGCACGGACATTAATTATTAATAATGTGTTACAGCAAAAATTGTTCTCAGCACTGGTAGCATTTTTACATGCTGCCCAGGTTAAGACCTATAAAGACCCCATAGCTCAGAGTTATCAGAATGCTTGGTTTTTTCATCTGAACCCCTGGAACTTTTTGGGAGGCTTTATACTGGCTTGAGTTTTTAATTTATTAACCAAGTTGTTCTTTCTATAAGAAACACAAACTACTTGGTAGGTTAAGTGGCTTCTTATCACCTGGCAACAAGACCGAGAAAGTAATACACTGAAAGCAATACCAATTTCAGCTTTCCATATTGGTAAGTTTTAATGTTTTAATTTCCTTTGGCTGCAAGTAACGTGGCAGGATTTCATGGGAAACATGCTGCCTGCAAGCCATGGCTTGGTGAAATTCTCCTGTGTTAATCAGAAACAAATGGTATCCAGGGGAATGACTGTTGAGCGGAAGGAATAGTGTCTGGAGTGAAGAGAAAAGCAGAATGAACATAGAAGCTAACCAGCCTCTTTCCTGTGCAAAGTGAATGCTAATCACACTGGCCCAGTGTCTCAGAAAAAAAGAATTTAGAGCACTAACTTATGGGGAAAAATCTTCCACCACTCAGAAACAGCACATTGAGGGACAAGGAGTCATTAGTTTACAATCAAAACAACTGCTGTACCTTGCAACGCTACAAAATGTTTCTATAAAACCAGTCCAATTCTTTATTGCAAAATGATGCCTGCAGAACCTGTACAATGTCCCACCAAAGAGAGTGCACTGTTCTGGTTTTCCCTGGCACTTCACTCAAAGATCACTCAGGATGTAGCAGAACAGAATGTTTTTTCTCACCTTTTCTCAGGACTACTTCTTTAATGGAACTAAGTGGTTGTTGGAGACACCTAATCCTCATACTCTTGAACACTAATGTTGTCATGACACACACCAGATGATGTGTGCAGACGTCCTGCTTCATCTCTGTCGTCTGTAAGGTATTTCTTTTCACCCTCCCATAAGACCTCAGCTTTCAGAATTGTATGTCACCTTAAAACAAGCATGTCTGCTATGGCTCAACATAGGTCATGTGGCTATGTAATTTTGAGAGAGGCCTATGCATCTGTAATGCATGCATATATTTGGTCTTCTACAACAAAGTGGATTGGGAGAAAACAAATATTTACAATCTTGTGGGAGATGTAAAGAGTTTTTGTTGATGGCTTAATGACCAGCGTAAGTCATTAAGTCTGAAAAAGCCCTGAAACCTCCATGATTTGTAGTTCTCAAAAGCTGATTTTGTTGCCATAACATGATAAAGTCTGCAGGAATTCTTCTTTCTAATTTTTGCTTGTTTACAGCACACTGCAGCTGGTCGGTTCTTTCTTATTTTGCAGGGAAATCTTTCAAGTATGACAGTAGTTAACAAAACTGAAATTTAAGAAAGTGCTTGTTCTGCTTTGATATTATGCCAGTTTTCCTCCCATAAAGTCTAAGGGATATTTACAGTCCTTAGCTTACTGTGAATCTTCATGGCCCAGTTCCAGCCAAAGAGACTATCAGGGCTAAAAATACAGCTCAACAGATGCCTGGTATATCTAGACAGCACTGGGAGGCAGCACGTTTCTGTGGATAGGGCAAAGAAGTGGGAGTCCATAAATGGGGGTTCTCTTTGCAGATCTCCCACCAAATTATCATCAGGTTTCAGGAAAGCTGTGTTACCTTTCTGTGCTTCAACCTCCCTATACAAGGAACTGTTTTATTTTGTAGAACACTTTGATATCTACTGATAAGAAGGCAGAATTAAGGCCAAACATTTTCCTGAATGGTACTGTAAGACCCACACCTCCTACTCCTCCAAGAAAAACTCCGAACCACTTTTGTGAGGGTTTTCCATCAATGGCACAGACAGAATTTCTATCCCTCAGAACACAGCACTTAACCTGTTCAGTCAATCAACCGTTTATAAAAATGTAGTGGATTTATGTAATTTCACAGAAATAGTGCCCCGTGGGAGCTTTAAAGGTGATACATATGTCACTAAGGAAAGTGGCTCAAAGCAATCATTCACTTGGCACTGTAGTGACACCAGAAAGAGCCATGAAGAGCCTGAGGCTTTGCTGAGCTCTATCTCATGTGAGATGGGCACATCAGTCCAGCCTGCCTTCCCCTTGCTGTGTCCTCAGCCTGGTTCTGCAATCAGTGCTGCCTGCCTGGTTGCACAAAATGTGTGTGAGTGTTTGGGCAAGCTTCTCATGATCCAAGTTTCTGTGTTAGGGTTGGATACTGAGGAATACCAGACTGCAAGGAATCACTTCATTGAGTCCTGTCTCCCTGTAATCAGATCTAAATTTCTAGTTAGTGATTAAACTGCAGATGAATTACAGTGTATATGGCATATGGGTATAGAAAGGTTCATTAATTCTGTCAGTAATCAGTCTTATTTGGCTCTACAATGCAGAACCAGTTGTGCTGAGGGTTCTACAAAAATAATCTCTTTATTGCAATGAATATTAAACCAGATGATTGCTAATAAAATTATTGTCTATACTGTATCTCTAAGACAAAATGAATTCAAGGAGATGAATCAGAGCTGTTGGAAAAATCTGCAGAATGCCTTTGGCATGTGCTAGATAAAATTTCTTGTCATTTAAGGCACAGCACAGTTGTTTAACAGAGATTTAAGAGTCTTTGTATAAACACCATTCCTATTATAATATCAGTTTTGCTGAAATGTTTAAAAATGCAACAGTGGAACCATTTAGAAATATCAAAACTAGCTCGCAGTGTGCCTTTGTCCTTTTTTATGAATTATTAAAACCAGATGGTCTTTTAAGATATTAATACCTAAACAACCAGCCAGCTTTGATCGAGGTCTTACAATTCTTATTAGAAAATCACGAGTAGTAGGACTACAGCAATGATTAGTGAAAACACTCCAAGAAAGTTACAGCAAGCAACAAGAACTGCCTTAAGGCTTTGGCTTCAGAGACTTAACATGTTGTCTCAGCCCAGGCTCATAAAATGGCCTGGCACACCAGTATTCCAACAGACCACACCAAACAGACTTTCTTCTTCTTCTCATTTTTGTAATATTCACATGAGAAGTTCCCCAAAGGACAGGTTTAACAGGACTGGGTCACGTGGATTTAATTCAGGAGAATGGCCAAACTTCTGGTGGTTATAATTCTTGTGATTTGCCTGTGAAGTCACAACTGAGTGGCTTGCTTAAACTTTGGCTGCTTGAGCCAGTGATTACTTGAAAATCTCAGCTTTAATTTGAGAGAACAGGTATTTTCTCAGAATTATTCTTGTTCAGAAACCTGCCAGCATGAATCACAAAGGCACAAAAGCCAGCAGGTAAATAAAAATACAGTTTTTAAAGATCTTACATATTTTTAAGCTAATTTTACATGGGTTTGAGGGCAAGATTGTTTACTGAAGAATTTTTATGTTGATGGGTAGCAACACAATTCAGGCCTCACTATTACACTGTTTAAATCAACCTGACCTATTATGAAAAAAACATGGCAAGGGCACAAATACCCTTTTAAGTTATGCTAACTGAGGGGGTGGCAACCTTTGGCATAGGAGCAGTAAAAGAAAGCTAACAGCATTTGGGATCAGCAGCCCCTTCATTTTCCTCAGCTGCAACCTGAACAGCATGACTACAACCTTTATTCCAGGGTCTATGCTTCTGTTATTTTCTTCTGTGAGTTCAAATCTCCATCATACTTATGCTGTATTTTTCACAGGCAAGTTTGAAACATGGAGTTGATTTGAATCAGCTGTCTTTGTGTATGTTGGCAAGTAGTGCAGCCTATTAGGAATGGTTCTGTAGAGCAAAACAGTTGGTGCTGAGGACCTGACATTCACACTGTGTTTGTTGGGGGCTATTTTGGACTAGGTGTAAACTGCGGTTTAGGTGCTGTCTGGGAGTGTATCTTCTGTTTCACTTCATCAGAAAGATACCCATTTTGTCTACCCTAAGACTGCTCTGCAATGTGAAGCACAGCATACTAAATAGGGCTGATTTAAAGGAACAATATAGTCCCACTGTGAATTAAAACAGTAACGCAGACACAGCCATTATCTCTGCAAATCATCCTTTCAAGGGATGAAAGATGCAATGGATAGCATCCACCACACTCAGTTCTAACAATGTGAAAGGTGAGTGTCTCTTCTCAGCTGAGTTTTGATTCCCTCATTGTAAATGAAGAAAGAGATGCCCCTGAGGAATTCTTTCCACCTATTAATAGATGTTAGAAGACTAGATAATAGAAGACTAATAGATGTGAAGAATGTGCTCTAGAGGTTCTGCCATTTACTTTAAAGAGAGCCTAAAGACACCTTACACAACATGCCTGCCTTGACAGTCAAAGCTGATCAGCAGAACCCCATCCTGTGTCTATAGGAATAAGATACTGGTAGCTTCAGTGACCACCAGTAAGATGCATTTCAGCTATGAGTGGCTATGATTCTAGAACTAAAATAGTTTTACATTAACTATAATTTCCCGTATTTTGTAATAGGCGATCTGTAAAGAACACTTTAAAATTTAAGTTAGTGCCTTTTTGTATATTTGTGGTTTAAGAAAGGCTTGTCTTTTTTGTTGTAGCTGTGTGTCAACAGTCTGAATGGAATCAGTGTTCAGATTAGGCCATGGGATAAACTTTCTTTAAGTGTACAGAAAATTTATTTATTTTCCAGAGGTGAATCTAAGCTAGTTGGTAACTTTGAGCTCCCCAGTGCTGCATCCAGAGTCCTCAAATGCTTACTTTTTTTTCCCCTTCTCATTATTACTTCCAAAGTGCAATACTACCAGCTTCTGTTG